CGTGGGGCAGCGCACACATGCGCGCACAGCCGTGGTCTCTCTCTCTCTCTCTCTCTCTCTCTCTCTCTCTCTCTCTCTCTCTGTGTCTGTCTGTGTGATACATGCTCAGTCGAGCGATGTGTGGGGAGCCAAGGATCCGCAAATGATGAAAAGGACTCAAATGGACAATGAAGTGTCAGCAAAGCATCAACAAGCAATGTACATCCAGATACATATGAAAGTAGCACAATGTAGCGCAGCGGAAGACTCAAAGATATGACCTGACCTGTCAGATACCGATGTGACACCCCATCATACACCTCATATGTGAGAGAGAGAGGAGGGACCACATACATAGACGAAAGGTCCCTCCTTGATCAGGGGGAGATACCACGGATGAGGAGATGGGGGGTAGAGGCAAGATGAAGACGGAGATGAGGGAGAAGACCAAGATTGTGATAGCGAAGTCCAAAAATAGTCTCCCTGCCGAATGTCCAATCAATGTCTGCCACAAAATGCCGCCTCAGGTCCTGGGCCTCACGGCCCGATGTAACCTCTCCCTGTAACCTCTCTCTCTCTCTGAAAGAAGCAGAAGCAGAAGAAGAAGAAGAAGAAGAAGAAGAAGAAGAAGGAGGAGGAGGAGAGGAAAGGAGGAAGAAGGAGAGATGGAGGGCGAGAGCAAGAAGAAGGAGAAGATGTCGTCCTGCTTGCTATCTCACCTGCAGGCTGCAGGTAACTGGCGCCATGTACTAACTGTCACCGTGTGTCTCCGCTGTGCTGCAGGGCGCTGGCGTGAAGACCAGCTATACCACCCAGGTAAGATCTCCGCCGACGCAGGTATGGCCTCGACCTCGCTCGCTACCTAAGCCTCTACCTCTAGCATAGCGCTGTCGCACTGCTCCAGCAGCGTGTTGCCCAAGAAGTGAGCTGCTCGAACTGTGTGTCTGCCCTGGCGTGGCCCAGCTATAAGTAGAGCTGGGCCTCGCAGGTGTGCCTTCATGTGCCTCTGGTCCTGGCCTCAAAACGGCCTGCCTGGGTCCCTACCAGACCTCCAGGCCCTCCCTGCTGATGCAGAAGGGGGCGTCCACTACCGGACAAAAATGGACCTGGCCCAACAGGGCCTGCCTACGTCCGTACCAGGCCAAAAAACGTGGCCTTGTCTGAAGAGACCGAAAGTCTGTTCGGACGAACCGTCCGAAACGACACCTGAACAGACAAAAATAGGACAGCAATTTCAGCAAATAAATAAATGAATGCTGCCTCAAATCGAAACCTGCGGCCCAAAGGCCGACCGTGGGCCTCCAGGGTGCGCGTCTGAGGGGCATGCGGCCTGGGGGCCCCCAGCAACCGTCGGGCCCCCAAAATGGGGCCTGTGTGCAGGCTCAGCATGTAACACTGTGTCTCTTTGTCTCTCTGTTCTCTGTCTCTCTGTTCTCTCTCTCTGTCTCTCTCTCTGTCTCTCTCTCTGTCTCGGTCTCTCTCTCTCTCTCTCTCTCTCTCTCTCTCTCTGTGTGTGTGTGTGTGTGTGTGTGTGTGTGTGTGTGTGTGTGTGTGTGTGTGTGTGTGTTAGATGCTGAGCCTGCACACGGGCCCCGTTCGGGGGGCCTGACGGTCGCTGGGGGCCCCCAGGCCACACGCCCTTCGGACATGCACCCTGGAGGCCCACGGCCGGCCTTAGGGCAGCAGGATTCGATTTGAGGCAGCATTTATTTGTTTGCTGTCCTATTTTTGTTTGTTCTGGTGTTGTTTCGGACTTGCAGTCCGTCTGTTCGGACAAAGGTCACGTTTTTGGCCTTCTATGTTTGCGGGAAGGCCCTTGTGGGCCAGGTTCGTGTTTGTCCAGTAGCGGACGTCCCTGCTGCCTCAGCAGTTAGGGTCTGGACGTCCGGTCGGGATCCAGACCAAGTAGGCCGTTTCAGGCCAGGACCAGAGGCACACCGGCGAGGCCCAGCGCTACATATAGCTGGGCCAGGCCAGGGCAGACACACAGTTCGAGCAGCTCACTTCTTGGGCGACACGCTGCTGGAGCAGCGTGACAGTGCTACACTAGAGGTAGAGGTGTAGGTAGGGAGTGAGGCGGAGGCCATACCTGCGTCGGCGGAGCTCTTACCTGGGCGCCATAGCTGGCCTTCGCGCCAGCGCCCTGCAGCAAAGAGGAGACACGCTGTCGGGCGGCTCTAGCCTTACGCCGCCCTTCACTTCCTTGAAGATAACACTTGACGGGTACCGGATCTACAAAATTTGCCAGGTTGGGCCATGGCCGACATCGAGGGATTGCGATGCCAGATTCACACCATGAGCATCAGGGCGACGCATCGGGGAAAAGGGAAGACCAGAAAGGATGAGTGAGCATTCTTTCATGGACACCACAGAGGACCATCGCGCTCAAGGTAATAAAAGGTATGGAGGCACGCCAATCACGGAAGAGAACGCCGGAGCCTCCGGATGAGGTACAAGAACGAGGAGGCCAGGCTTACGTTAAAACGTTGGCCGATGGGCCAGTTAAAAGGGAGCGCTGGACTCTAAGACGGACCCTCAGGTGAATTAAGCAGCGGACGACACCGGAGTTCGTCATGGGACCAGTATAAAGGGAAATCGCTGCTCGGGCGCGCCTGGGGCCTTGACATTCGGGCCCTAAGTGAGTCAATAGGGAGCCTGTGAGGCCTAGGGCCGAGAAAAGGGCCTTCTGGCCGTGGTCTTATTAATTCCGGGACCGGTCCTCGCGGAAATTGACAAGGTCCTGGTACTTTTCACGTGGGGACCACGGGAGCCCGGGCGGGCTCAAGCCTAGGTTCGGAATGAGCCTCGGCACCAGGGCGCTGCAAAAGGCCCGGTACCCGACAAAAAGGCTCCCTTCGCTAAAAACCCTTAGGGGCCCCAAATAGGCCCGGGCGCAGGCTCAGTGGAGCCACGGTACCGAGACGCTGCAACTCGTCGGCAGCCTCACAGCATGCGAGGGCTGAGGCACACTTCGAAAAGGGCCCGACAAAGTATAAAAGTCGAACCGGGCCCAGGGTCTGGACACTTCGGACGTGCGTACTTACGGACGCACTACAGGAGCTCGGGACTTCCCACTGGCGCACATGCAGGCGCATTGGAGGAGACTGGAGTCAAAGACACTCATGCGCACTGCCGGAGGAGCTAGCTCGGGGGGACAGCGGAGATACCTGAGGCGGGCGCACGGGCTCACGAGGGAGGAGACCCGCGCGCGCTAGCGCGGGCACACGAGTGCACGAGTGCGCGAGGGGGAGAGCCGCGCGCACGAGGGCGGACACACGCACGCACTGCCGCACACCCGCGCACAATCGCACACGCGCGCGCTGTCGCGCACGCACGCATAGTCGCGGGGGATCGTGCGCGGCAGCGCGCACACGTGCGCACAGCCGTGGGAGATCGCGCGGGGCAGCGCACACACGCGCGCACAGCCGTGGGAGATCGCACGGACAGCGAGGAGACGGGCGCACAACAGCCGC